TTTAGTCCTTCTCTCTAAATTGCTCAGGACCTCACTAAATTACTGGGGCTGGCCTTGAACTTGTGATCCTCCTGCTTTAGCCTCCTGGTTCACTGGGATTACAGGTGTGCACCACCACACTTGGCAATCTTAGCTTTTAATACATTGAGAAAACACTCCATTGTAGCTCAGGCATGTGTGTGGAGCCCTCTACAAGTAGATGTTAGCAGAACCCTTCCCCCACCCCCTGCATCCTGACAATAGGCAAGAAAAATTAAAAGAACAAGAACACAGAAGTGAAAAGCAAACAGTAAACGAGCTCTTTAACCAACATTTAACTAATGCCAGGGACTAAGTTTTCTCTCACTCACTTTATTCCCTTGTATAAGAAACTGTGGTTATAAGTTTCAGGAAATCAAAGCCAAGCATAGTGACCATGCCTATAATCCCAGCAACTCAGGAGGCTGAGGCAGGAGGATGGCAAGTTCAAGGACAGCCTCAGCAACTTAGTGAGGCCCTGTCTCAAAAATTAAAAGTAAAAAGAACTGAGGATATAGCTCAGTGGTAAAGTGCCCCTGAGTTCAAACCCTACTACCAAAAATAAAAAGCAAAAAAATGAAAATAAAATAATATTTACCCAGGAAAAGTGCACAGGGGCCAAGCTGAGTTAGGCTAGCTTCCCTCTCACATGCTACTCTCAAGACATTTGCAAAACTGAACATCGAAGATCCTGACTCTCAAGCTTGAATTCAGAAAACAAAGAATATTTCAGTCACTGACCCATTTCAGAACCAAGTTGGGTCTTGGGCTTATTGCAAAGAACAAATTCAGAAAGTTAATTTAAAATGCCCCTTCCACACTGCCAACCCACAGCACTAAGCCAGGACTGAAGGGCTGCGAGGCTGTTCTTCCTGTGACATTGTTCACAATTCCTCACAGGGCCTTTTGGTGACATCTTGTGAAAAGGTTTGATACTGCAGCCGCATACCAGCATGTCGGCTGTCCCCTAGACCCTGGATACCAGGCAATGTGGCCTTGATTCCTACCCAGGGACAGACTAGATATGCCAGCCAAGGCTCAGCTCTCGAGAAAGAGGAAAGAGCTGAGGCAGAGAGAGATGTCACTTCCCACACTTGCTTTCTGCTTGCTGTAGATAGAGTGGCTAAGATTTAAGATGCAAAGTACTTGAAAACATGTGTCCCACCAGCAAGAGAAAGCATTCAGCTTATGCGCCTGCTTACTGCGTACCTGCCTTTATTGTAGATCCAAAATTGTCTCTGCAAAAGGAGGTTAACAGCTCAAAGTTCATCTTTACAGGAGGGCTGCAGCTGATGGGCATGCAGCAATGACTCTGGCCAAGCCACATGAACTGATGGACTGTGCCACTAGTGCAGCTTTGGTTCAGTTGGAAAACCCAACTGTGCTCCTCAACGGGCTCTGTGGGTGCCCAGGCCACTCTGGAGAAGCTCATTAAATGACACACACAGGTCATCCAGTGGCATCTGACCAACCTAGTGCCATTCATGAGCCAAACCACTGGCTACCATGTGCAGGTACAGAATCGGGTCCACTATGTGGCTTAACCCCAAGTTTTGCAATTCCACCTTCCATCACCCAGGGATCCTCAAGCACTTCCACTGAAGCACTCCTGCCCTTAGGAAAGTGGATCCCTCCTACCCCAGGCTGGGACTGAGCCCCGAGCTGCTGAGGATTAACTCAGAAGTGCATGAAAACCTTTAACACTAAAGAACAGTTCTCCACACTCTACTCCTGATCTGAGCATTTTCTATCAAAACGTAAACCCACCTGGGGCCCCTATTCCTGGGCACATGCTGTAGGCACCTCCTCCTCCACACACACAAAAAAATCTTAACTAAGCTTCTCCAGAAATCTTCACCGTAATTGATCTTAAGACTATAAGCAAAAGAGTCTCTACAAAAGAGTTCAGTGTAGATAAGCTTCCTATTTTCGTGTTGCCTTATTTTACTTGGCCACAAGCCTGGAAGAAATCAGCACTCCAGGTGCTGGACACCCTCTTACTAGTTTTTCACAAACATTTATCCAGTAGAGTAGTTTGTAGAAATGTGTAAACAAGGCCTCTGGGCCTTGAGCTGGACTTCACAGAGATGTCTACATTTTTAAGATAAGTTACAATTGGGCTCCATGGTAACAGCTGGCAGGGGGAGGAAAGAAAAGGGAGAAGAAGCTCTCCCCTTCTTAGGTGTTGTCTTTGAAGGGTTAACTTGCCCAAAATAGTGAAAGGAAAAAAGCTGCTTTATGTAAACTTGTGCAGACTGGGAACTTCTGAGCCCCTCCCATTACATGCTGGGTATAAAACTCTGAAACTCCCTGAACTCAAGGTTCAGGGGATTGATCGATTACAGCAAAAGCTGTGCCCTCTGAGCCTGGCTGCAGCCAAATAAAACTGTTTCCTGCTGTCTTCGGTGCCTTGCCTCGTCTGTCCCTACAACAGTGCCAACCAACCCTTGCTATGCTTCCAAAGGGCAACCACTAGGAAGATGCCTAGCTCCCTTTACCAAAAATGCACTTATTAAATTTATGCTACTGCCATGTTTTCACCCGAGTGGGAAAAACTAAACCAGTAACACCAAAGCTGATGAAGGTGTGGGAGAATTGACAGAGGGGAAGTTTGATCTTTTGCACAGCAACTTGACAACTTGCATCAAAATTTAAAATGGTCATCCCCTTCAGCCCAGCAGTAGCAACTAGGAGACCACAGTGATGGGCAGAGAGATGTAGTAACACAGCCAATGCCCTGGAGTACTGTACACAGCTTGGGTGACACCTACTAGTGCAGCAGAGAAACGCCATGCTGGAGTCAGAGGAGAAAGTGGGCCGCGCATCAGGCGGGCCACGACTTTGACGTTTACAGATGTGTTGTTGCAAATGCACAGAAACCTCTGGATTAATAAGATGTGAAGGGGCTGGGGTTGTGGCTGAGTGGCAGAGTGCTTGCCTGGCATGTGTGAGGCACTGTGTTCGATCCTCAGCACCACATAAAAATAAATAAAAAAGAAACGTACATCAGCAACTAAAAAATATCAAAACAAAACAAGACATGAAGACTTAGGTCCAGGGTGTGTGACTGAGGAGCAGGAAACTTTCATGTTCCTAACTGAAGCCCTTTTGAGCTGAGTTATCTACGAAGAGTAGTCAAGGAAAAATATGAAGTAGTCTGAGCTTCTCAGCAGAAAGCTCAATGTCCCACTAGAATGTTCCAACCAAACCTGAAGATGGAAAACCCCACAGATTACTAAATTCAGTCTCTCCTGATAAAACATGGGCACCCAAGTCTAAACACAAAAATCCATTCACATTTCATATACACTTTATACACAGGACTAAACTAAATTTTTAAAACTTTTCTCTGAGGTGTTGGGGATTAAGTGCAGGACCTCACATGCTAGACAAGTGCTCTATCACTAAGCTACACCCAGCCTGAAGGTAATTTTATACAATATTTTTGGTGCCTGTTTCAATTGCAACCTGTCATATGAGGTCACATGTAGAAAATTCCTTTTGCAGTGTCATGTCGGCCTTCAAAAAGCTCTGGATTTTTGCTGGGAGTGGTGGCACACACCTGTAATTCCAGCATCTCAGGAGGCTAAGAGAGGAGTATCTTGAGTTCAAAGCCAGCCCCAGCAATGGTGAGGTGCTAAGCAACTCAGTGAGACCCTGTCTCTAAATAAAATACAAAATAGGGCTGGGGATATGGCTCAGTGGTTGAGAGTCCCTGAGTTCAACCTCCAAAAAACTCTGAATTTTGGAGCATTTCAGATTTTAGAATAGGGATGCTGTACCTGTAATTTTTTTTTTTGAGAGAGAATTTTTTAATATTTATTTTTTTTTAGTTTTCGGTGGACACAACATCTTTATTTTTATGTGGTGCTGAGGATCGAACCCAGTGCCCTGTGCATGCCAGGCAAGCACACTACCACTTGAGCCACATCCCCAGCCCACCTGTAATGTTTTTTAATTTTTAAAATTTGTTTTAATTAGTTATACATGAAAGTAGAATGCATTTATGCATTTTGATATATCATACATAGATGGGCCTATAATTCCCCATTTTTCTGAGTGTACATGTTACAGAATCATATTGGTCATTTAGTCACATACATATACATACAGTAATAATGTCTGTTTCATTCTACGATCTTTCCTATCCCCACATCCCTTCCTCTTCTCTCCCATCAATTCCCTCTACCTAATCTAAGGTAACACTATTGTTCCCTAGTGGCCCCCGCCTTATTGTGAATTAGCATCCACATATTAGAGAAAACGTTTGGCCTTTGGTTTTGTGGGATTGGCTTATTTTGCTTAGCATGATATTCTCCAACTCCAACCATTTACTGGCAAATGCCATAATTTTACTCTTATTTAAAGCTGAGTAATATTCCACTGAGTATATATATACCACATTTTCTTTATCCATTCGTCTATTAAGGGACACCTAGATTGGTTCCACAGTTTAGCTATTGTGAATTGAGCTGCTAAAACATTGATGTGGCTGTGTCACTGCAGTATGCTGGTTTTAAGTCCTTTGGGTATAAACCAAGGAGTGGGATAGCTGGATCAAATGGTGGTTCCATTCCCAATTTTCTGAGGAATCTCCATTCTGCTTTCCATAGAGGTTACACCAACTTGCAGTCCCACTAGCAGTGTATGATTTTCTCATCACATCTTCAAACTTAGAGTTGATTTTTGTGCAGGGTGAGAGAGAGAGGTTTAATTTCATCTTATTACATATGGATTTCCAGTTTGGCCAGCACCATTTGTTGGATAGGCTATCTTTTCTCCAGTGAATGTTTTTGGCACCTTTGTCTAGTATGACATGACTATATTTATGTGGATTTGTCTCTGTGTCCTCTGTTCTTGTATCTGTAATGTTTTGTCTTTAGTTTGGATGCTCAGGAATAGCACTGTCCAATGGCAGTGTAACACAAGCCACCTACCTAAGTTTTTAAATTTCAAGTAGCCTCAAACAAATCAAAAACAGATGAAATTAATCTTCATGTTTTATTAATCAATCATACCTAAGACATCATTTCAACATGTAAACAATGTTTTTAAAATTACAGTTACATTTTAATATTGTCTTCAAATCCTGGTGTGCTTTGGTTCTCAATCTGGATACACCTTAATGTGAACATTGAGTTTTCAACAGTGATTTGTATTTAGATTTCACAAGACTTAATTCTACAGCACATGCTTAGCATGTGCAAGACTGTGCATTAAACCTCTACCCCCCACCCCCAGCCAAATCTGCAGTTACAAAATCGGTTCACATACACAACATACATCAAGGTTTTCTAACAACTGAACTGGGTGGTTCTTAAGCTTAAAAGTTTAGCTCCTTCCGCCTCAAAATCATAAAACTAGCCCCTATAACCTCCAGTACTCAAAGAAGCCCTCTGCCTGCATCATGGTTTTAAATTGCTTCTGGAAGTTTCTATCACTTCAATACCAGACACTGCTAGCATTTTATGACTTTTTTCTTGCAGTTGACAGCAAACCCAGGTACAAATAAGCCGTCTACAGGCTAGGTATCATCTGGTTTAAGAAGTCAGCTGTGGCAGACAGCATGCTCTCCCTCAAGACCAGTCCGGCCCAGATACATTCTCTCATGGACTGAGGGCCATCTGGACAAGGACCCTTAATAATGTATCCTGCTTCCTAGGTCCAGACAGACACCTCTTTACAGAAGCCACACGGGCAAGACCCAGACTTATGGTCAGCTGTCTGTCGTTTACATGCTGGAAACTTTCCAAAGACTGGATCTTGAACCAGTTCACTGCCCATACAATACAGCTTACTCAGATCTCGCTTTTGAAGTCACCAAATTTTGTTGCTGTGGTGACATAACCTGCCTTGGAGCATCAATCTCTCTCTGATTGTTTATTTTGCCAAACAATTTGAATGCTTTATTGGAAATGTTTAATAAAGTTTGACTGCTTGACCTGGGATGAAAAAAGATACGAGTACATTAGTCATCTACAAAGTTAACTGTATATGGAATGATTTCAGGTGCAGCGCCAACACCAGATACTCGCGTGTTGTCATTTGGTTTTCCACCTAGAAGAGAACAGAAAGAACCGACTATATTATATGCCTCCTGATTACCTCAAAGTGGTTGATCTTTCAAAAGAGTCTTGGATCCCAAGTAAGATGTCCCAGAAGCAGTTATGCTATGGCCTGCTGTGACCTAGAAGGGACTGTGCTTATAACTTGGGACTCAAGTTCACCTTCCTGGGGAAGCATGCCAGGTCACAGGGTTGGCTGTAGTTGTACTACAACTATTCGACATAGAACCACACCCAAGATAAACATACTGACCTGAGTCGCTGGGCCAGCCAACTGGAGGACGGCTTAGACTCAGAAGCACTGGTTGCTGAGCACCTAGGGAGAGGTGAGACATGTGTTCAGCCCTTCTCGTTCACCAGGCTCAGGCATGGACAACACAGGGAGCACTGGAGCGCAACGGACAGCAACAACACTCCCCTTTCATTCAACAGCAAGTGCGGCCCAAGGCTGCTGTGGAGAAAGGTGCTAGCACTATGGGGTGAACAGTGTCCCCCAAACACCTGCTGAAGCCCTAACCCCTGGGGCCTCAGAATGTGACCTCATTCAGAGACAGGGTCTTCACAAGGTGAGCAAGTTCAGGAGAGGCTGAAAGAGTGGGTCCACATGACCTCCTCACAAAAAGTGGAAGACGGGACCCAGCTGCTCACAGGGGAACACCCCAGGAAGACAAGAGATCTCAGTGATGCATCCCCATGTCTAGGCTCACCAGAGACTGCGGCAAATCAAGAGAAGCTGGGGGAGGCCTGGAACAGATCAGCCCTCCGCCCTCAGCCAGAGCCGGCCTGCCCATCTCTATTTTGGCCTTCCAGCCTCCAGACAGGTGAAAAGAATAAACTCCTATTGTTGAGGCCACAAAGTCACAAGAAACTAATGTAGCTAGCTTCCTACTTTAACTAGGATCCAATTTTATCACAGCCCCCAAGTGTACAATGGATGCTTCAGCTCAGCAACTTGTCCCCCACTCCACCCCAGGGTTCAAGCTGGTTTTCCTCCTGCCTCGCCCAGGTGCCTCTCCTCACCTGGCTCTGCAGCTGTGGTCCAGCGGGTGTCTGTGCTGAATGCAGAAGCTGCCTTGGCACTGTGCACAAGCCAGCGGCACCATCTCCTTCTTTTTACATCCTTCTTTTGAGCATCGGTACGTGAAGACCTGGGAGAGAAAAGCAATTCTGTGAGCAGGGCTTCAACAGCCCCCAGCAGCACCACGCACTCAACTAGAAACAGGTCTCGGCCACGTGGATGAAGACACCCAGGTCCTAGGGAGACACCTTAGTGTCAGGTGGAAAGACAAACATAGATTAAGGAATTGGCAAAACTGGGGATCAGGTGAAGATGGCCAGAAGCTGTCCCCAGAAGACTAGGAAGAAAAGACCAAAGGAGGAAAGGAGGCCAAGCAACTGCTCTTGGGAGCACTGGGTCAGCAGAGGCTGTCCCCACCAGGGGCCTGGGTGGAATGCCTATATCCTCCACACCTACTGATCACTGTGTTTATTTTTAAAGGAGGGACAAGTGTTAATACTTTTGACTGCCTGTGAATTAAGAAGGTAACTGAAGGGGAGGATTCCAGCAGCCTGAGAGCAGCCTCTGGTAAAGAGGGGCAGGCAGGCAGCTTGAGGGCCATGCAGCAGGCACCTGTAGAGGTCCCATCTGCAAAGGCAGGCACAGCAGTGCCAGTGCAGGAGGGGCGGGGGAGACGGGGGGGGGGGGGTAATTCTGAGCTCCTTTCCCGATTTGGGAGAGGTCGGTGGGGTGGAGATGAGGCCTGCAGTGGGTGCACAGCCACAGGGGAGTGACCAGGAGAGGAACGGGGCCGCAACACGCTTCTGCTTCCATATACAGGGTTTTGTGTGAAGACAAAGGAATGCAAATTCCATTTCTTTGTGTTTAAAATTGAAAACAGTAAGCAAGAGCTAAAGGGCTTTACATATACTTATGATAGTGTAATTGTGAGGTATTTAGTGAAATGTACTGTTTTACACAGTTGTTAACTACAAATCAGGGTCTATACCTAGAAACTGATTAAAGTGAGACAAATGCCAATCAATTCCCTAGAAGACACACCTAGAAGAAAATACTTATTTGGAGAACAGCAAAACAGGGTGGGGCCATGCACCCAAGAAAGCAGGTGCATGAAAACCACCTAAATGAGCCTCCTGGGGAGGAAAGGTATACAGCCAGCCAGCCCAGACTGGGGGGTGGCCTGCAGTCCAGGGGTCAGGCAGCCTGGAGAAGGCTCAATGAAGCCAGCCTCTTCACCCCCTCCCTGGCGAAGGAGCGGATCCCTACAGAGGTTGGTTCTGCCCTTCCTGAAATACTAGAGAATTGACAGAGAGGTTTTCGGAAAGGGATAAACCCACAAGAGCAAAGAAAGTAGTGACAGATTTGGCAGGAAGAAAAGATCAGCTGTCAGCTAGGAGGAGACCATGGAGAAACCCTACTCATGGGACAAAACCCCAGGAACTGGGGCAGTGGGACCACAACACAGTGGCTGTGGGCCTGTTTAGAAGCAGACCCCACAACCTCTCCCACAGATGAGGGTTGAGGGGGGCTGGGGGCCTGGGGAGTGCAGCATGGGGAGGAGGACAGGGAAGGAGGGGAGAGCAATAGTAGGTTGAGGTGCCACTCAGACCCTGGGCTCCTAGGACTCTGGAGGCCATGAGCACATCCTCCAGGCAACTCGAGGGACACCGCTGGGGAATCCCATTAGCCCAAAGAAAAACTGAAAGACTTGGACCTCAGGGGCTTCCTGAGGGAGTGGACCAGGAAGATGCCCAAGATGAAGGCTGAGTCCATTCTGAACTTTCTGAGCAGCCTGCTCCAGAGCAGACACTTGAGAACACTTACTGTGACACGCAGAAAGGGCAGGTAAGGAAGCACAGTCTAAGGACAGATCCAACAGGAGGAACCTATCAGGGCTCCTGCGCCAAAGTACCAGGAATCCAGACAGAAGAAAGGAGAGAATGGAAACCAGAGACCAAAAGAACATTCCAGAACCATGGGGATGGAGTTTCCAGTGGGAGGGTCCACTCTGTACCCAGCATAGAGAAGATCCTTCAAGATGCTGGGGAAAAACTGGGTCAGGGTGGAAACTGGCCCCCAGAGGGTCAGGGAGGGGAAAAGCTCAGCACGTGGGCTCTCAGGGCTGTTGTCGTCCAAATAACAGAGGCCTAGACGCCACCCAAGCACCTCCAACTGCACTGGGAGGACAGAGCCAGAAGGAAATGTGTGCACAAATGACAGAAGAGCAGATAAGGGCTACATCCTCAGTATACAATGCAGTACACAGATAACAGATAAAACTAAAGAGCAAGCAAGACAGGTCCGGGTGGAACAGTCATGAGCAGAAAAAGCAGTTAGCACATATAAGCAAGCAGGACCTGTGAACGTGAACACCTGCCCAGGGAACAGGGCCTGCTGTCATTCCCACACACTTCCCCTAAGGGAGCAGATAAAAAGCTTCAATAAAAATACTGATGCTACCAAACCAAGAACACAATGTCTAGAGCTGGGGACATGGCTCAGTGGTAAAGCTTGCCTAGCAGTGCAAAGTCCTAGGTTTCATCCCCAACACCGTAAACAATTAAAACACTGAATGTCTGAATTTTATAACCTTTTACCTGCTCCTAGGAGCTTAGAAAATAAATGTGCAATAATTACATTAACTGAGTGGTTCTACTCATTAACTCCTCATCAGAAACTCTAGTTTATTCCTGTAAGTGAAGAAGGCTCTAACTTAGAAGCCCTTGTGTTTAGGAACTATTTCCATAACTCAAAACTCAGGGCATTCACAACACAAGAAAACAATCATTTATCACTAAGGGATTTATGTTGCACATAAATCATGAGGACTAATTTTTCACAGTTGGAAAACTGATCTTCCCCTTAAGGAAAAACCAACATTCTCATGTCACAGACTGACCCAAAACTTGTCCTTACCTTCTCTTTCTTCTTCCCAGGATGATACGCACAATCTCTGTCAATGTGCTCTCCCACCACCACATCTGGTATCTCTCCCCTTTTTACAGGGATGGGGACATTGCAAAGTGGACACACAGGGACCTTGACATCCTAAAGATAAAGAATGTGAGATAACAGCTGAGATCCACACAAGGAAAAGGTGAAGCACAAGCAGAGCAACTAACTGGCATCCTGACCACTACTGAGAACCGGGCACTGCTGGACAGTAGGTTAACAGGCAGCCCTGGAGCCAGAGGGCCAGCTGCCTCCTGGGGAGTCGAGTTGAATCCAAACAAAGGACTATCAACCAACTGTGGAAAGAATCCTCCCTGAGTAAGAGGATCAGGGAGGAAGCTGGGGAGATCAAATGGGGTCTCAGGACAGCAAGGCTGTGTGTCCAGCACGTCCCCGTGAGAGGACCTGCCCTACATCTTCAGAGCAGAGATGATAGGAGAAAACACTAAGCAAAAGATCTTCCAGCTCACTTCAGGTGTGCACCACTTCTGTGATCCTTTGTAAAGCCTTCCCACATAGCTTTACATGTCCTCATCAGTGAATAGAGGACACACACTGAGGCAGAATGCTCGACCCATAATCACCATTGCTGATTGCAAGCCCAAGGCAGCAAGGGATCTGGAGGAATGCATCCAGCAGCTGATTGCCCAGGATGGTTAAACCCTAAACCAGGTCAGGCATGGTGGAGCACACCTGTAATTCTAGTGACTCAGGAGACCGAGGTAGGAGGATCCCAAGTTGGAGGCCAGCCTCAGCAATTTAGCACAGCCCTAAGCAACTTAGTGAGAACCCGTCTAAAAATAAAAAATAAAAAGAGCAATTGGGTGTGGTGACACACCTATATCCCAGCAGCCTAGGAGGCTGAAGCAGGAGGATCACAAGTTCAAAGCTAGTCTCACCAATTTAGCAAGGCTCTGAGCAACTTTGGGCTGGGGACATGACTCCACGGTTAAGCAGCCCTGGGTTCAAACCCCAGTACCAAAAAAATTAACAAATAAATAAAAAGGGCTGGGGATGTGTGGCTCAATGGTAAAGTACTCCTGTGTTAAATCCCCAATACCAAAAAAAAAACCAAAAACCAAAAAACCCTGAGCCAGGACAGGAATTGAGGGAATGGATCATGAGAAAAATGAGGTGGCCGTTACATCAGACAGGTGGCAATAATCAAACTTCGGGGCTTGCAGTCTGTGGGTGGAGCTGAAAGTCTCAGGTGTTCCTCAGTTGGCAAGTCTGCTGGCATTACCAGGTGACTGTCAGCCAGACTCCTCCCACAGGGGGACCTGGGAAGACCCAGTTGACACATGAACAGGATAGCTGGTCTAGTCATCGGGGCCTGGTAAACACAGGAGGTGAGTCACTCTCCCACCGGCCTTGATGACCCAGAGAGGGCGGAGGGGCCAATCCTGTTCAAAGCAGGTGATTCTAAGTTACCCACACTCCATCTGCCACCAGGGTGAAGTGGCAGAGTTCACTGAAACCAACTGTTAACCACCCAGAAACAAAGTGACCACAGGCTGGAAACCACCTGAAAAGCCAAACTCAGAAGTCCGAAGCCCACAGATGACTGTGAGTTTCTATCGTGTACTATTTGAAACACCTAAAAATATAAGAAGGCTGCAGGAGCCCAGATGAATAAGCACCTTTCACACCTTCCTGATTAGACTGCACGTCAAGCTCTGAAACAGCCCCTATGCCCATGAAAACATAGCTGTGTTCTCTTGGTGCAATGGATCAAAGGAACCACGAACTTTAAGGTGAAAAGTGGGCTCTGAAAATGAGGTTGTGTGTATAAAAGTTAAGGCAGCTGCAGCTGGGCCAAGAGGGAGGAAAGTTTCCCTGAAGCCTCCAAGATCAGATAGAGCACTGCAGTCTGCCTCCCAGGCACAAAAAAAAGACACCATATGGGAAGAACATGCTTTCAAGACGGACTGTGATGGCTTCCAACCACAGGGCTCCTACTGACATTCCAACTATACCAAAAGACTTATCACCTACTGATGACCCCCTTGCAACCAATCTAGTAGAACTTTATGCACAAAAAGATTCAGCATCCATCTAAATCTATTCCAAACAACTTGTGTAGCCAGTAGGGCTAAATGGAAATTATTCACAACAGGTTATTTCACCTCATCTCACTGTCCCTCTTCCTCCTTTAAAAGCCGAGTCCTCCTACCTTGAGGGGGCACTGGGTTGGTTGCTAATCAACTTATCTCCTGATTTGCAAACCTACCCTATGCCTAGACAAACACCATCCTTGCATTTATTTTAACCTTGTTTATAGTCTGTGGTTCACAGCCACAACAATTTGATTCCAAAAGTCCTAAAAAATAAAATCTCAGAAACTTTAGAGCTGTACTGTCCAGCAGAACTTTCTGTCATACTGGAAACACTCCTTACCTGTGCTGTTCAATACAGAGGTCACAGGCCACATGTGGTCACTGAACACTTGAAATATGGCTGGTGCAGTTGACTGATTTTAAACTTTATTTAATTTTCCTTAAGTGGCCACCTGTAGCTAGTGTCTGCTATAATGGACAGTGAAGCTTTAGACAGTACAGATTAGAACCTTCTGAACAGAGTGTGATGAATTACCTTCTTGAATGCAAAAGGACACTTATGGCCAGCATAGGTAAAATGATCTTTACAGAAATCTTGGTTACATGCATCACACTTTAGTGGAAGAAAATCTAAAAAATATAAACAAAATGGTAAAGACTTCTAAGGATTAGAACAAAATAATTATAGCTCATAGTAAGCAGGTACTTACCTACATTAAGTGTTTCGTGCCTATGACATAAATATATCTATAAGCTATCACGTGAGAAAACAACTTTAGAGTTTTGCATTTAACAACATCAAATGACATTTAAGGATCTATCAGGCTCTTTTAAGAGAGATCCCATTTCAAGCGGCATCACAATTATTTTATTTTTTGGTACCAGGGATTAAACCCAGGGGTACTTAACCACTGAGCCACATCTCTAGTCCTTTTTTGGTTTTTATTTTAAGGCGGGGTCTCACTAAGTTGCTGAGGCTGGCTTTGAACTTGTGACCTTCCTGCTTCAACCTCCTGAGCCACTGAAATTGCAGGCCTGCGCAGCCTCGTCCAGGGCATCACAGTTATTTTAGCAGCAAACTTATATCCACTTGATGCTGGCATATAAAGATACTCAGTAATAATGTTGAATAGAACCTACACCTTGCTAGAGTCCCAATACTGATAAGCCATAAAGAATTATCAAGTAATCAAGAGGGGCCATGGGGCACACCTGTAATTCCAGCTATTTGCAAGACTGATGTAGAGGATGGCAAGTATGAGGTCAGTCTGGGCAACAAAGCAAGACCCCCATCTCAAAAAACAAAAACAAAACAAGACACACAAAACAGCCAACAAAATACCATTTTCTATTAAAAAATAAGCTCTTAAAAGTGCTTACCTAGTTGCTTGCAAGTCTTTTCTGAACAATGCTTCCCCAAATCAGGAAACTCCATTATGAAAAGTGTTAAAAATGCAGTCAATCACCTAGGAGAATCAGAAATTAGGAGAGAAATGAAGGCTTTTAGTTAGTCTCCAGGATTTATAAGGTCAGCTACTAAAAGCAAATAGACATCCTCTTAGGGAGCACTAAATGTCCAAGTCATCCTGGGCCCTTGCGCAAGACTGAAGTATCACAAATTCTTGTTGACTTTCAGCTAAAAGAAAAACTGGAGTTTTAGCACCAATACCAGCCTCAGAACCAACCCCATGAGCAGAGATAGGGTGCTTTTTAGTCCTTTTAATCCCTAGTTTATGAAGCTCACCAGACTTTGGGTTTTCACTAAACCACCTTTCAATTCATGCTGAAAGGAGCTTCTCATGTTCAATGCACACAGCTGCCGGGAAAATTACAGTCCTGATAGACTTTAAGTCACAATTTCACTTACTGAATATACTTGTTGACATAAACAAAACTCTGTTACTAGGTACTAAATCACATTAGCTGACTACACTATCCAGAGAAGATTTAACTCTGTCCCTTGTCTCCCTTTCTCTCCCTGATGCATTGACTTTTACTTTGAGCTTATTCCTTAATGACATAACTAGCCCAGAGTTGATCAGGGTACCAGCCCTTAACTCACCATGAAAAACAGGTAGATAACCATGAAGTTGCTGCACAGGAGAGAGGACTTAAGTCTACAAAGGGGTCCAGAGGACCCTTCCATGACCTGCATCCACCCAACTTCTCACAGCTCTTGTCCCTCCCAGAATTCAAATTACCAGGATATTCTTCCAGATTTTACCATCAGCTCTCTCCACTCTCCTGGAGCCCCCTCTTAAGCTGTCCTGTGCCTGGAAGGTTCTTGTCCCTGCTCAGCCCTTTGGGACCTCTGTTTAAAATGCCATATTCTCTAAAGGGTTATCTCTAACACTCTTGCCAACTCCTATCTAGGTGAAACGCCCTCTATTCTTCCTTCCCAAACCACTACAGTTCCCAAGGGCACGTTCGTGTTGATTTTGCTCATCCTTTACCGATGGGCTTGACACAGTGAACACAGACCAGGTGTCCCAGGATTTTTTGTTGCCGTTATTCAGACTCGTGATCAGAACCCGATCTCGATTCCAAAATGATTTATTTTTGATCACTGCACTGGTCTGAGGATGCCTGGACGGGGGAGGAGGGGATCACTGTGATGTGAAGCCTTGTTCCTCCTGGCTGGGGCTGACAAAAAGGAAACGCAAGCACCGCTGGAGGGTTGGTTTACGAACCCCACTCGGGCTCTGGCCCAGCCCCCTATGTACCCCGGGCAGGCCCCGACCCCTTACTGGCCCATCCCGGTACCTGGATCTCGTCGGGGATCAGGGCAGCTGGGGCCAGTAGGTGATGGCGGAGACAGAAAAACGGTGACGTTGTCCGTGGCCAGCCAGGAGGATCAAGGTAGCAAGAAGGATAACACCGGGAAACACTCCAGGGTGCCCAAGGCCCATTGGCTTCCACCCGGAGAACAACATCGCCGCGCCCCACAATCGTGTCCATTTATCCGCAGCTGCCGCGACCGTGAGCCGCCCAGCCCGGGCGTTCCCGGCGCGCCCTGACGACGTCACTCGCGGGCCAGCCAATCCCGCCGCGCTACGACGACGTCAGCGGCCATCGGGGCAACCCCATTGGCCGGCGCACTCCCCGCTCTCCGCCTTCCTTCTCGAACAGTCTCGCCGCGTCTAGCGGTGCGCGGCTGAGTCACCGTGAGGCGGCGGGCGCAGCTGGGTCTGGGGCCTAGTTGCGGGCGGTGGCCAGGTCGGCCTCGGGAACCTGGGTTCGGCAGATCGTCGGTGGGGCCTAAGCCTCCGTTTCCAGCTGGCATGGCTTGGCAGTGATACCGAATTCTGGGGAAGAAAGCTGGAAATGGCGAACGCCCGCCTGGAGTCCGGATTTCAGCATTTCGCCAGGCTTCCTACATTGTACCCTGTCCTCTCGACAAATACAAATATATATGTGCACACACACACACACACCATATATATATATCTGTGTTTGTATAGATGTATAGATATGGTTCCTTCTTAGAAGTTGCATTCTATAAAGACCCAGCAAACAGAAGAGCTGAGGAATGACTCAGCAATACTCTGAGGAAATACAGTCATGTCTCCCTGAGCCCATTGTTAAAACTGTGTGTGTGTGTGTGTGTGTGTGTGTTGAAGGACACTTCATTTAACATATATGGTTGATTGATTAGCAGTGGGCTCGGGACCAGCATCCTGGGAACATGTGGTCCTGTCTCTGTGGCATGAGGCTTCTGGAAAGAGATGTCCTTCTTAAAAAATAATACCCATCAGGACATGGCCCTCTTCTACACGCACTTGGAAATTTTAGCTCTTGTAATGCCAGATTCATAGGACCCCAATAGACTTCCAGGAACTGAATCCAATGCAAGCATACAAGAGTCTTTATTGCAAGCTCGAGCCTGGACTCACAACTGTTCTGGACTCAGGGGTTCCAGGGAGTGAGTACTGGTCCTTTGTTCAGTGAGATATTATAAGTTTTGGGGGGATACTCTATGCCTCACAACATCACACAGCAAATCATTCCATGCTGCAGGAAAATCAAACAACAACTCTTAACATTGATTAGCACATTCACTGGCGGGAACAAGTTGGGTGGCAGTGATTGGTTAGTACAAGAGGGGGAATTCCTTTGAACTGATTGGTTTAGGCCACGAGGGGTGTACATCCTAAACTACATGGTTTCCCAACATGTTATCAACCACCATAAACTACTGGGGGTCATCTGGCATCTCAGGTTATTTTCCCTTTTTCATGCTGATTGGTGGTTGCTAGGGGGTTGCTATGGGTCTTCACCTAGCCTAACTGAGTCAGGGACACCTGGTGCCTCAGATGTCTCCTGTTATTTGCAGACAAACAACTCAGCAGGATGGGTATGTGCTTAGGAGTGCTCTGTGGGTTTTTCCCAGGACAAGGGTCACGCCCCTTTCCTTAGGACAGGCTTTGAGGTATAAGCTGGTTTCTCAAAAATGGAGTCACATCAGTTTCTCACTCTCTTGCTGATCTGAGGGCTGACTAAGCTAGAGCCAAATCAAGTTGCTGATGTGGCAGAGCAAGAAGGAAGGACCTAGGTTGCTGATGACATTGTTGAGTGCTAAACAACGGTGGTTGCCTCTTTAACAGGAGATAAACATGTTCATGTTGTCCAAGGCATCCAGGGTGGTGTTTTCTAGTATTTGCAGTCAGAAGGATTCTTAATGTGTAGTGAAGAAAGGTTATTTCAGCTTAGTACATACCAGCTATGAGATGTGGAAGGTTAGCCAACAATTGGTTACATGAGTGTGTAACTAGGATGAGAGGTCTAGCTTCAGGAAATAGTAAAAAATCATCAACATAAATATATGACTGTGCGCTTAAGTGTTGATGAGATTTCTTAGGGAAAGGGGTGCTTATGGAGAACAGTCCAGGCACAAAGCCATGGGAAAACCAATATTCAAAGATCAAAGGAAGATGAACCAGCCCGGCAATGGAGAATGATCCACTAAAGAACTTAGGAGGGAAATAAGAAGGGAGTGAAAGTCAAGGAAAAGTGCTTTCTAGAAGGAAAATCAATGAACTGCCCAGAGTGAGATGAGGATGGATAGGGTCTGTTGGATTTAGGCAGGGAGGTGACCAGTACCTGGAGAATAATCTTAGAGGGGAAAGCAGGAGTCAGACTGAAATGAGGTGGAGAGTGAGGATGAGGTGGGAACATAGCTGGGTGTCAGGCATAGCTGCACACCTAAGGAAAGTTGGATGTTTGTCCCCATCCAGCTTGGATAAACAGGAGAGACTGCCCACTGCCACTTTTCTGCTTTGGATGCATGGTCAATATTGCTTTTACTTTTATAATTCATATCCTTCACAAATATTTTATTGGGTACTTGCTGTGCACACCCCATTAGGCCTCAAGAAACAAGATAATGCTGCATCCCTGTTTCTTCCTAGGAGCTTACAGTCTTGGACAGTAAGTATGTTGTAGGGACAGACGAGACAAGGCACTGAAGACAGCAGGAAATAGATTTATTTGGCTGCAGCCAGGCTCAGAGGGCACAGCTTTTGCTGTAATCAATCAATCCCCTGAACCCCAAGTTGAGGTAGTTTTAGAATTTTATACCCAGCATGTAAGTGGAGGGGCTCAGTAGTTCACAGTCTGCACAAGTTCACATAAAAGCAGTTGTTTCTTTCACTGTTCTGGGCAAGTTAACTCTTCAAGGACAACACCTGAGAAGTGGAGAGCTTCTTCTCCCCTTTCTTTCCTCCCCCTGCCGGCTGTTACTCTGGAGCCCAATTGGTAACTTCTCTTATCTTAGAAATGTAGACATCTCTGTGAAGCCCAGCTCAATGCCAGAGGCCTTGTTTACACATTTCTACAGACTACTCTACTGGATAAATGTTTGTGAAAAACTAGCAAGGGGATGTCCAGAACCTGGAGTGCCAATTTCTTGCAGGCTAGTAGCAAGTAAAATAGGGCAACATGAAAATAGGAAGCTTATCTACATTAAACTCTTTTGTAGAGACTCTTTTGCTGACAGTCCTAAAATCAGCCATGGTGAAGATTTCTGGAGAAGCCCAGTTCAGATTTTTTTTTTGTGGAGGAGAGGGTGCCACTATAAGTAAACACTGTGCTTATCAGGTCGCAGGGCAGAGACTGTCATCATGAATTCAGAGAGTAACTTCCCAGAGCAGGCCTGGTAACGTTGGACAGAGTATCTAAGGTTTCACAAAGGAGGATGATCTGGTGGGCCTCAAAGATGGAAATTGGACTAGGTAAGGGAACTGGGGGAGACTGCTGAAGCCAAGGTTATATCAGCCTGGACTCCTGATGACAAGTGACAAGAACCCAACTCAAAACAGAATTTTCCAAAAGGGGAATACTGGCTCCTAAATTTCAGATGCACTTGGATCCAAGAACTTCAGTGAGGTCCTTTGGTATCCTCGCCTCTGAGCATCTCCCCCAAAGTCTGTGTCAAGTCCACAAGGGACTCTTTTATGTTTTCTTGAGTCATGTTTGGAGTGACTACTCAGGAGCCTATCTGAGACACTTCAAGAATGAAAATTGGATGCCATTGATGCTTTGGGTGGAACAATAGACATAAACTGGGACTCTCCTGAGAAAGGATGTAATGTCACAGTACTCTTCAGTCCATTTGATGTGGACACTGATGTTGGCCCTGCTAGAATCACATAATACAGCGGGGAGGTAGTGCTTTGAAGTATAGTGCCACTGATAGATGAAGGAGGGATTGGTGGATGGGGGATGGGAGGAAGAGGGACAGGAATGCCGGAATAACAAAATATAGTTGTCTATATCAGTAGTGAGTTGGCAGTTCAGGGATGGAGAGATAAAAAGATTAAAAAATAAAGTGCAAATTTTGAGATCAAGATACCTAGATAAAGTTGAGACCTAGAATGTGAAGCAGAGAAGTCTGAGCTCATTTGATTGATTGGTTTTGGAGACAGATTGTTGTTCAATAACGTGGTCTGTAAGACTGACGTTTGGGGAGAGAAATCAGAGTGAATTGCAGGATGTTTGGGGCAGGTTTGGAGGAGCTGACTGTTAATGTAGTCCATGTTGCTGAGGAAACCAGTGAGGTGGAGGTTGAAGGTGGGGCAGGGGTTCAGGGAGCAGTTAGGAAACAAGTCAGCAGAACTTCTCGCCTGTGGGGCATGAGGGACCGAGAGTGGAGAAAGCCCAGCTTCAGGCTTGGAGAACAGAACTGGCAAGGCTAGGGAGGTGACAGCGGGCCATGTTAACAAGATAATGTAGGTCTGTCTGAGGCCATGTTGGATTTTGAAGAAGTTGTAAGAATAGGAAAGACACAGAACTAGAATTGGGATAATCTTTAAAACCAAAACAACAGATGAAGTCTCTAGAAAGAGATTAAGACAGAACTGAGCCTGAGGACGTCTGCAGGGGAGGGTGGGAGGAAGAGGAGACAGAAGAGAATCCTAAGAGACAAGGAAAGGAGGCGGGTGACTGTCGTGGGGGCGGTGACCAGCAGGTAAGTGACCAAAGTGGACAATACTCTGCTGAAATCATGAGAGAGGAGAACTGAAAACCCTTAAGAAGTTTGGCCAGAAGGTTTTTATGACTTCAGGGAAAGTCATTTCCTTAGTGATATAGTGCCCAGGACGGGCTGGGTTACTCTGTGTGATCCCAGCATCAAAGATTCCGTGGCTGGAAATGCCCATGCTCTGTTCTTGCTCAACTCTGCTCGTGCCTCCCTCCAGTGCCTGGGATTGTGGAAACGCTGCTCGGAGAGCACTGCTGGCAGCCTTGGCTCTAGAGGCCTCAGCTTTCACAGTGGCTTCTACTCACAGCTCAATGGCCACTGGCACATGGTCCTAGTCCTAGTGTGTGCCCAGAAGGGGAGGACTGGCAATACTTGTTGAACACGAAAAATGATTAACCACGTAGGGTGGCAGTCAAGGTCAGATTAGGGCTGAAGGAGGGGTCAATGGTGGAATATGTTCCTTTCATTCTGGGTCATGGCATCTGCTCTGTCTTGGTGACACTTT